AGCATAAAGCACTGTGCTTTTGTTGTTGTTGTTGTTTTGTTTTGTTTCAATTATCTTTCAGATAATGACGGCTAGCTCATATCAGAAAACACGAGCCAATACTGGGGCATTACTTTGGTCATTATCTTTCCTTTCCTAAAAATGTTTTTTTTTTTGTTCAGTTTTCCAATTTGCATTATATGAATTATCTAACAAAACACAGAGGCAAACATGACATTTTAGTTGTATCGCTATAATTTAATGAAAATGCCCTAGATTTATCTATCAAATTTTCGAATAATTGGAGCCTCCAAATCATTGGATATATTCTTGGATACTAAGCTATGCGACTGGTCGACTTGAATCATTTAAAGCATTTTAATCATCATTATTATTGTGTAAAATCATTTTATTTTTTTAAACTTAGATATCATTAATTTCATGAATTTGTTATAATATACATACAGCAGCTGCAGTGGTTTAGTGGCTGGCGTGCTCGATTCGCCATCAGAAGAGTTTAGGATCAATTCCTCCCCAAACCAATCTAAGATGTTTACTGTGTTGCGTCCATGTGAGAAGCACTTTATTTCAAATGCTTTGAACAGGTTGCCTTTCACGTGTTGAAGTACATTTATGCAATATTCAATCAAATAATCCTTTAGTTTACATACGGAAAGTGATAATCGTGCTCGTCGTTGTTATAGGGGGTTAAGATAATTTACGTGTGAGTATACAAAATATAAGGCATATGACACGACGATAAACGTAACATATTGGCATTATGTATTTTATTTTAGCCCATACTTTTTTTTCCTCCCAAGAAAAGCCGTACGTTATTACGGAAGAAAGGTGGTGCTTTGCATGATGTATGCAACTTTTCTTGAAAAAGGGTGTATGAACAAGTCAGAGAGTTTCAAGAGAATTAGTAATACTTTAAAAGTAACGAGATTCTCAAACCTAGGAAGAAAATGACATCAAAGATGATGATGATGATGATGATGATGTTGTTGTTGTTGATGATGATGATGACTGAATGCAGCTTATAGTAATTGTTACCCCTACTTGAAAAACATTTTAATAACCAAGAATAAATTCTATAAATTCTATAAGTTTTAGGATACTTACTAGATAAGCTTCCATTTTAATAGCGAGGTTGTACAATCATAAATTTTCCTTTTTTGTTTTTTCTAATTTTGCATGAAGGCGTGAATTCATATCCAAATTATCTGATTATCTCTTGACAGGGTGCTTCTCACTGGAAAACGCGAAGAGAAGTAAGATAACCTACAAAACGAGATCAATTCAATGTAGGATGCAGGTAGATCTCAGAACTAATATTTATGTAAAAATATCGGAAGAAAATTCCATTCAGAATTCCAACAAAATAAAGAAAATACAAGAGCAATTGTTCAGTTCATGCTAGTGATCAAAGAACCAAATACTCCAACTCATTTTCTTCAAAGTACTCATGATAACATTCTGAGAATATATTTTCATTTAGCATCCTTATCAAAACACGCACAGACACAATTAATAAATCACATATGAAAATATAAAAAAGCAAATTTGCCATTACGTTTATAGAAAATATTTGGATTATTATTATACAGACACCAGCATATGCACATATTAATTACACAGAAGTGTATATGAATACAGTAATAAAACATACGTGTATATGCACATATTAATTTTATTAGTATCACTTTTCCATCATTTTATCACGTGATTGGCATTCATTATTGTAACTTTATAAAAAGTTAGCAAATTTCATCATCACTACCATCGGTCTACACATGCATAAATAAAATTACATTCTATACATACATATTTATATTCAAATATGTTAATAATGGTTTGGCAGTGAGTTGTTTCTTCCATTCGTCTGCAACTATATTGTGTAACACTTTCAAACTGATAGTCTGCCCAGAGGGGAGAATCGTCAGACACTTTAGGAAACTCTGAAGTCCCTACTTGTTCTCAAATATGGTTGGTCATGTTCTTAACAGAAATGGGTGCTTTAAAACAATACATAATGGCGCATTACGAGCCATAAATTGCGAATAATGTCTTTCAACGCATTTAATGCATAGGTATCACAGAGCATAATCGTCAGATGCTTGCATACATTTCTGCTTTGAAAAACCATTTTGTACGAAGGCTCAATTTTGCACCGAGTGCTAAACAAGGAACGTTATAAGTTTTTAAAAAAAAAACAGTAATAAAAGGGGAGACAATGTCCTCAGAAAGGTGAAGTGTATCTATCTTAAACCTGATTTACTACTTTCAATTGTGTTCTGCTGGGCAGTAATTGTGTATGATTATATTTATCTCATGTTGGTTTCAAGCAGTGATTTCAAAGGAATCTACAAACGTAAATGCATAGTTGTGCATACAGTGTGAGACTGGGTTATATTTTCAGTTTCACTAACAAGCGATTAAACAATTACTTTTCTGGCTGGTGCGTGGGTAGACAGGTAACAGTCTATTCGATATTTTTTGACATATATCATATAGGCCTTCATAGGAACGTTAATTCCCGTTACTTTCATAGGTCTTACTCAAGTATGTATGCTTCTTACGAAGTATGCACATATGCCTGAAATTTTATAACGCAAAAGAATGACATGAGAAACAAATTTGTTCCGCCTCGTTGAGAGAGGACTAATTATTCTCGTAAAATACCATTATTTGTTAATGTACATGGGACAAATTAAAGTTTTCTCGACACTTCTAGCTTTAATTACTGCAATCAAAAAAGTTTATTTTAAGTTTAAGACCGTATGCTATAGATCGATTTACACATAAAATATACATAAAGGAAGTGATGATTTACAAAATGATGTGCCCTTTGTACTAGTTTTATATTAAAGCAACAATAATATATTTTGGAGTATAAGTGTTTGAAAATACAAAAATGAAGAATTGATAATTTATTGTACATGAAATTCTAAATTTCACTTTTCTTTGGTTTTTCTTCATTTTGTGGTACAAATGAGCTAACACATGATCAGTAAATGTTAGAAAAATGCCTGCAATAGTCTCTGTCTTATATCCAACAAATTTGTTGTTTGTGGAGAACAGATGGAGAACGCCATACTGATCAATATACAAGTAAAAGAAAGCAATTCCGCCAATAAAATATACGAAATAATAGTGCGCGTATATTGTAAATAAAAGTAACTCTTTATGGGCGTTTAAAATGTATCTTTTAACTTTCATCAATGAGTGAGTAATATACATTATGTTTAAAGCATTAAGAATCAGGTGTGGAAAATAAACTTTGCTTAATTAATACACATCCGCTAAATATATTTTATTGACCAGGTTTCGTGACTAGAAAGACGAATACCTCTGAGCCTGAGGCATTACCATGCTATATCTTAATATTACATCCGGTAATGTTAAATGAATTTCTAACGCTCACACCGGTGAATTAGCAGCCCATAGTAAATACAGTTTTACAAATATATTTTCACTTCTCGATGTGTTTAAGGTACCTTGAGTCATTTCTCTCAGATCGACTTACACGATGTATTGGACCAACGCCAGTTTAGAGTATATTTTTACATAGAAGGTCTGGATTTAATAATGAGATGTTATGTCTAAGTTTAAACTAAAATTCAGAATCTAACAATCCGAGAGAATTGCAGGTACACTTGTTGTGGAAGGGATTTCGAAAAGTTCGATAAAGAACTCTAAGCATCATTGTTTCATGTAATTACTAGATCAAGATCCATGTTAGATTTTTTTTCTGTTCACCTTCGAAAATTCCTGTTTCTTTGATATGATGGAAAAGGTTCATTTCGATCTTCTAAAATACGTGCTAAACATTTTTAAAATATCCACCTCGACAGATACGCTTTATAGTGAGCTTGGTAGAACCCCGATACATTTGCAAATAAAAAGGATGAATGGTTGGTTATTGGGTAAATCATTTTAGTGGTAAAGACACGAAACTATCTTACATCTTTATCTGAGGCAGCTGCAGGATTATAATGACGGTCTAGACAGAAACAGATGGGTTGAGAGGAAAGACTTAACGATCAGTTTATATAAACATGGGATTCATCCAATACTACCTGGACAAATGCTGATACATATAGAATTCTTAAAACTGAATTAAAGTTAAAACATTATTTACTGAAAGACCAGTCAAAAATATCGAACATGTAATAATTGTTTACCGATAGGAAAGAGAAGATGGTGGAATGTACTGAGATATGAAACATTGTATACGATATGCGTGAATAACTGCGTGGGTTATAATTCATCTAATTGAATGTAGCTATTTGGAAGAACAGAGAAAGTAACCTTAACCCAAACACTTCTATATGAGACCAAATTTACCAAAGTTTAAAGAATTATTATTGTTCAGAAAAACTTGGTATCTTAAGAAATATATCTAAATTGAAGTTTCGTTAATTTCAAACCAATATTACTTGATGTGTTTATGGCTCTTCCGTGTTTCTGTTGTTTTTGGGGTGGATTGATTTTATTAGCTTTTACAATAATTTTTTTTATTGCTTTTTGATATTTTTAAAGGAAGAGAAAAGTACCGTAGATTAATTATTGTAAATTTGCTGGAGATTAGTTTTGTTTTCCATATTTAGTAGTTTACAAGCTGTCTTCCCAATTATACCAATGTCTATATAATTAAGTTTTAACATGATCTTATTTCATTGAATGTAATAATGTAATAGTGCTGTCAATCTGCGCTATATTGCATTTACAGTGAGGAAAAATTTGTCAATGACTATTGAACACGCATGCCAAATAGATACTAATGTTTTCCTCATATGTTACGTATTTGTAACCTAATGTAATAAATAATGTGTTTTTTCTTTTCTTGTTGTTATCAGTTATGATGTTCCTTTTATGCTTTGTTTTTGTTTGCAAATATATGCAAAAGCATTTTTAAATTCCATTTTGTATACGAAAATGTACACGTTTATGAGATAGCTATTCAATGACCCGGTTTTATGAGGCTTTTTGATAACATTCCTTACAATACGTTCTGCAGCTCCGGTGGCCTAGTGGTTAGAGCCTCAGCCTTTTATGTGGGAGGTCGTGGGTTCAATCCCCGGTCGAGTCGTACCAAAGACTTACAAAAATGGTACTAACAGCTGCCTCGCTTGACGCTCAGAATTAAGAGGTTAGTGTTAGGACTGGTCGTCCTGGTGTCAGGATAACGTGGCTGGGTGGGACATCATGCCACATGTCTGCGGCATGATGCCCCAGTGCTAGACATCACTATAAACTGCCACACTGCAGACATCGTAGCGATATGACTGAAAAATTGTTAAAGCTACGTTAAAAATCATAGACACCACACCACGTTTTGCAGCACATTACACACAAAAGAGATGACAAATATTACTCAAAATGTACATATACATCACATGTAATGTTCAGAGTATTACATAATTCAATCTTGGCAGCATTATCATATCAGTCTTACATTATTTTCTAACTGATCACAATTTTTTAAAAATGCAATTCATGAAAATGGGCTTTCGTTTCAGGAGTCATTGAATTTTAAATTAGTTTTTATTGGCGAGTATCACGAAAACACTTATAAGCAAGAATTATCCCATCTCCAAAACTGGGTTACTATTATACGTTTAACCTAGAAAAATGTTCGAACTTCACGTCAGGACGATTTGACGAAGTTATAAATTTCAGAATAAATGCACAAGTATTCATTATTATTATTACAAGTATTTCGTCAACCGAGATCGATTTCGGATTTATAACAGAACACTTTTGATGGTTATACAAATACAATGTTTATTGATGAATGACTTGAATGACAAAAGAATTATGATTAAGACCCAAATATTGGACAAGATTGACACAATCCGCACGAACCTAATAAACCAGCATAAATGTGGATACAAATAAATAATCTTACACAGTAAAAGGTCAAAAGTTAAAGATTTATGGAAAATTCCAACAAAGAAAAAAATGATGCGTTTTGCTCAAATCGTAAAAGTGATGTATTTGACTCGTGTAGTAAACTTTACACACTCAAATAGTGAAATATAAGGTACTTTACTCAAAAAGTAAAAAATAATGAAAACAAAAGGGACAGATATCAAGCACAATATCTTTACAGTTCACAACACACCGGCTAAAAAGAATCACAAAATTGGCCAACGGCTAAAATATTACAATATCTTTACAGTTCATAAAACACCGGCTAAAACGAATCGCAAAATTAGCCCACGGCTAAAATATTACATGGAGTAACACCAGCACACTATGGCACTAGCATACTTGGATGCCAGTCACTTCAGGTAAACACTGACCACCATTCAATTCCTTGTTCAATCAATCAATAAACGCCAACCAATTCAGTCAACATTGTCCGATTACCTGCTTTTCGACAAGCAACTTTCAATCTGCTCTACGGCTGTCATGGCTCAGCTTTACAGCTGCTATGTTCAACTTCTATGGTTAGCTCTGCAGATGGAAACCTCGCCGACTCCTATCAACTGAAAATATATCTAACATCGTGTATTATGCATGATACGGGCATATATGATTACACGTAATAATGTTATATACGTGAAGCTATGCAAATTACATTATCGGCACATTACAAAGTAATAAACAGGTTCAGAAGTGAACTTAGCCGTGTCCGATAAAATTCCAACGATACTAAATGTTTCTTAAAAATGCAACTTTATATTTCTACTATAAATCTCTACTAAATTACAAACACGAATAAAAAAAATGTTTGCATTATACTAGGTAAGCCGAAGCTGCATAGAAAATATACAAAAATAAACGTGGTAATAAAATGGTTATAACTTATATTATACATAATTAATTAATAAATACCTCATATACCTCTAAAGATGAAGATGTTCAAGTCCTTAAATTTACTGCTCACTGACACGATGTTCCATAATGTAAAGTGTCATAAATAATGTAAGTGCTTTTAATTGCTTCATTTAGTGCACCAATATACCTAAATTTTCTAACTAATAAAAATAAATAAGTGAAAAATAGATATAATTGTCTATATCCAGCACCGAGTATAAAGAAAGGTTGGTTGTTGGTTGGTTGTTGTGGGGTTTAACGCCATTTTTCAGCACAAGATAGGCTATATATGGCGGCCAGTATTAATGGTGGAGGAAGAAACCGGGAAATCACCGGAAAGAACCACCGACCCACGAGAAGCTACTGGCAAGCTTTCTCACATATCCACATTCGCCGAATCTTAGACTCGAACGCACGCAGACAGAGGTGAGATGGCAGTGATCCGTAACGGAGAACGCTTTAGACCACTCGGCCACTCGGGGCCCCTATAAAGAAAGGCGAAGCATAGAAATAACGGATACCGTTTTGACAGAATTTACCCTTGATGGACAAGGAGAATTAAAATTACGGGTACCATTTTGAAAGTACATAGTGGGACAAGGATAAGTTACCATTACTTTCAACATTAGTTTATCCATCGAAGGAATTTAATATTAGATGACCATCTTGAAAATGTGACTTATGCGACTATGAGATTGGAATATTAATCCATATGATTAACATTATGGGCAGTTATTGTCAGAATGGGAAATTATAAGTGTAAAATGTCCATATGCTGAACAAGGTGACACGGTTTGGAAGACAAAGGGACGCACATGTCAAAAACACTGACACCGACAGACCACAACATCGTTTTATTAACTAGCACAAATACCTACTGACCAACACACCATCTTAATAATCAATACATTGTGTTACTGACCAACACTTGTAATTCCTGATCATTCTTTGCGTATAGAAACTGAATGAAATGCATTAGATCTCTTTTTACAAACCAAGAGTAGATTCAACGTTAGAGCTAGTTTAGTATGCGGCTGTATTTCATTTATGATATCGCTGTTTCGGAAAAAAAAGCGATACATTGCACATTTTTTAATTTGGTTGATGATAAGATTTCCTTGTACTTTACTAGATTGTATTTGTCATGAATAGACTCTTCGAACACAAAATATGATAGTGTTAGTAACGTATGTGGTAATCAGTAAGACGGTATCTTAATTTTTAGAGGTGTGTTGGTCACTAAGCAGTGTGTTGATAAGAAAAAAAATGAATGCAGGTCATTAAGACCGCGTGTTGAAGAGAGGATGTGGTATTAATCAGTAGAAGTAGATGCTGGTCCATAGCACAGTTTCAGTTAAGCAGTGTTGCTGGTCCATGTGAGTGGATGTTATTAAGAGTGGATGTTAGTAGAAGTAATTGTTGCTCCATTGGTATGTGCAATTTGCCAACATGAATATGGTCTGTTTTAGGAACGTTACATAGGATCTATAAATATATGCTTACATATACATTAACAATTACTAATCTTAATCTTAATATGAAGAATTGTTTACCACATATGATTAATTTATCATTGGCTGATGTGGTTCTAGAAGAATTAAATAATTTTCCATTGGAAGGGTTAGATCCCATAAAAAGGCATTTCGAAATATTTATTAGGTAGAATGGTTTGTCACCTGTGTAGCTATTTATTCGGATTCTTTCTTATTTTGGGGTAATTCTTATATAGCAAAATTTATGATTTTTGCCCGTCAGACGTTTTATTTTCCCATTAGGACCATATGTGTCCGAGTGGTCAAAGGAGCTCGCCTTTACGGACGACTAATATTTGATCTCTGCGTGCTTTCGAGCATCTGGCTGGGCTAAGGGAATAAAGGGGCGCAAGAAAGCTTGCCAGTAGTTTCGCGTGTGTCGGTTGTTCTTGCCTAGATTTTCCTGGGTATCTCTTTCACCACATATACTTTCCGCCATGTATTGATTATCGTGTAATGCATAATGAACTGAACCCATAAAAGCAGCAACATTTCCTGTGGCGAATATATTGCTTAAGTATCTTTCACCCCTTGACGAAATCAGTTATTCACACCTTTCAAGCAAATTATCCTCTCTCTCTCTCTCTCTCTCTCTCTCTCTCTCTCTCTCTCTCTCTCTCTCTCTCTCTCTCTCTCTCTCTCTCTCTCTCTCTCTCTCTCTCTCTCTCTCTCTCTCTCTCTCTCTCTCTCTCTCTCTCTCTCTCTTCATGCATACAACATGATTAAATCATTGTCGATATAATCCAGGGTTTTTTTTACCTTGTAATGTTTTCTTTTGGTTTGGTTTGGTTTGTTTTTTGTGTTGTTTCTTTTTGTGCTTTGTTTTGTTTTTTGGAGCTTTTTAGTTTTATTTTCGGATTACGATTGCGAGTATCTGCTTAAATGATCTTAGAGTTATTGTGCTATATCAACATCACTCAAAGTACACCTGTCCAAAATTAAGAGCGAAATATCGTCAAGATGAGGAAGCTGTCTAGACCATTGAAAGAACCATCAATTCCGGCTTCCTGCGAACAATAGTTTAGCACAGTCCGGATAGAGATGAACATTTCTAAGCTTGGTATTTTAATTATCAGGTATCATATATCTTTTTCACATTTTTCTTTACTTCTGTCATGGTGGGATTTTAGAAAAGAAATCGATAAATTGTATAAATAAAGTACTATTGTTCGGGCGAAGGCTAATAATCTTCTTCGTGTGATGATGAGAAAGAATGACGGGAATTTAGTAATTCCTCCAATTGATGTTCCATTATCATACCCTAATGATGTTTTAATCTATAGGGCTTCCTTACAATCATAAATGTATCTGTATTAAGGTATCTGTATTATTTATGTATTAGTAAAACTTGTCATAATCTGAAACCCGTATTTTATAATAATTCTCTCTCTCTCTCTCTCTCTCTCTCTCTCTCTCTCTCTCTCTCTCTCTCTCTCTCTCTCTCTCTCTCTCTCTCTCTCTCTCTCTCTCTCTCTCTCTCTCTCTCTCTCTCTCTCTCTCTCTCTCTCTCTCTCTCTCTCTCTCTCTCTCTCTCTCTCTCTCTCTCTCTCTCTCTCTCTCTCTCTCTCTCTCTCTCTCTCTCTCTCTCTCTCTCTCTCTCTCTCTCTCTCTCTCTCTCTCTCTCTCTCTCTCTCTCTCTCTCTCTCTCTCTCTCTCTCTCTCTCTCTCTCTCTCTCTCTCTCTCTCTCTCTCTCTCTCTCTCTCTCTCTCTCTCTCTCTCTCTCTCTCTCTCTCTCTGAAAGCGATGCATGTAATCCCGAAAGTTATGAGACGAGCTTATTCATGTAAATGATTTTTCACCTTTGAAAAAAAAACTATTTTAAGTTTTCCATGGAATGCCTGAAATACATAGAATTCAGTTCTCGCGCTATTCATTGTTGCGTCAATCCATTTTAGTTCTCTTGATTTTCTCGTTGTTGATGGATTCATCTTCAAAAATGTATGATCTTCAAACCATATCGATTCCCTAGTTCACCATGCCTTATAATAGATAGTTGATTCGAATACCCATCAATCACAAGTTTTGTATTGTTACTTAGTCAATAGATACTGATAAATCGAGCGTTGCCTTAGTGGAAACCGTACACCCAATGAATGAAGATTAATTAGTAAATAATGTCTAATGTAGGATGTGCTTTACAGAATTATGAATGCATGCGTACCAAAAGAGTTAGCAAATGAATATAGCTGAATAAATCAATTTAAGAAACCAATGGGTCATTTTGAGGTTTGTGCGAGCTGTCTCGTGCTGCGAAAAGTTAATGAAAATAAATAGATGATGCATGTCCCAAACTGAACCTTAGATAATTAAGTTTTTCCTGGATTCTTAATATTAGACTGCACTAATTTGATTAATTTATGGATCCTATTCAGTACTTCTATACAAACAGTTTCCTTTCTAACATTTTGTTGCTTGCTTCAGCATTGACACACATTCATACAAAATCAATCCGTTGGCAAATAATCACTATATTTCTAAATGTTTAATGGATAAAGAATCATCTAGAATAACATTTATATGGCATGTTTATATCCTTCGACCTAAGTATTTATAGCAAAATTAATATCGCCCAAATTAATCAGCCTTTTCGACTAAACGAAGAACGCTGACTTTCCAAGGGAATTTGAAAAGTCTTTAAAAAGATCTGTCCTTATTTATATGACACTGAGAAATGTGTAAAATTGAAATACTGCAGTTATGATGACGAATGTTGTACAAAAGAATGCCACCCTTATAAATAATTATCAAACATTCTCTTGAAGAATCAGAGGATAATACTATCCGTCCTCTTTGGCGTATATTTGTAATTCTTTACAATTAATTCTACCTTGATTTACTTCTTATGAATCTGGAATGTGTAGTTATGTCAACAAGGAAGTATGTCTGTCACGCACGAATGTCCATAACACCGATTTTCTAGCATCATTTTGGTGATGTACGCATAGTAACCGCTCCAATGGCCTAATGGTTAGAGTGTCCGCATCAAATGCGCGAGGACGTGGGTTCGATTCCCGTTTGAGTCATTCCATAGACTTGCAAAAATGTTGCTAACAGCTGTCTTTCTTGACGCTCAGCATTAAGATGTTAATGTCAGTACTGTTCAGAATAAATGCAAATGGGTGGGACATCATGCTACATGTCTGTGGAATGATGCCCCAGTGCTAGACATCTCTATAAACTGCCACACTTCAGACATCGTAGCGATATGACTGAAAAATTGTTAAAGCTACGTTAAAAATCATAATCACATCACATCACATGTACACATAGTCAAGATGGCATCCTAATTGGTGCCTACAGGCAAGACGGTAAGTGAGGTTTACCGAGAATACGGGTTAGAATATCCGTAGAGTATGAATAATGAATTATCTAACTTGCACTTAATTTGTGTTTAGAAAAAATATGCTATATATATATATATATATATATATATATATATATATATATATATATATATATATATATATATATTGACCAATTTGAACAAGTCATACTAAAACAAAGTCAACTTATAAATTACTAATATTAATACTCTAACAGAAAGTCTAATTTGCGTTCTATTTATTTATGCATCGTTTGTAACAGTATCTTCAGAGTCAATGAATTGTTTTCCACTTCCAAACACCATATAAACTCATTGGTAAATATGCCGTTATAGCACAAATTTGGCCGCTGATGATGTCATTCGTACTGTACTCTTTACGTCAATTCAACTTCTTCTTCACCTTCTTTCTGGCTTCTTTCCCAAGGCACTCTTGTCAGTAATAAAAAACGTTAAAGAGCCAACATTGTCATTTCGATGTTAATAAAAGAATTTTTCCTGACCCTTGCTCCTTTAAATCAAATAAACGCTTTTGCGATAAAACAATGTTATCGAAAATGCAGCTTTAAGACCTGATATACCAGAATTGAGAGTCAGTTGTGTATTATGTCATCCATTTTAAATCAAACGAATACCCACTGCTGCCTTTACTGCGTATACACTATCTCAGGTAGAGGCAATGCATTTTATAAATATTTGAATGCAATTATTCTACGATCTTTTACAAACAAAATACATTCTATTTTTCATCCTAATTGTAATTTTGTGTTGATATTATAGTATTAACTGACTACACGTTATTATAGTTATCAATCACTTTCCGATATCATTCTAAATAAACTGTGTATATAAGCGATCTAAGGGTAGCCAGGCAGTTGGTTCTTTAGGATGGGTAGCCAGGCAGTTGGTTCTTTAGGATGGGTAGCCAGGCAGTTGGTTCTTTAGCAGATACATAGGATGCAAATCTGCATATTTCGCATGCAGTACTATTTACCTGAGGTACTGTCGGTATTCAGTAAATTTATAAAACTTCTCATCCGAGAAAAACAGTTCATTTATATATATATATATATATATATATATATATATATATATATATATATATATATATATATATATATACAGAGAGAGAGAGAGAGAGAGAGAGAGAGAGAGAGAGAGAGAGAGAGAGAGAGAGAAGACAACATTCGGGAGTGAACAGACGTGACACTAAGCGACTCGCTGAGACAGACGGAAAAATCGAGATAAATGGAGGAAGGTGATTGTCCGGTCTCATGCGGTGCCCCATCGGTCTACTAGACTACGGGACTGATGATGATGATGATGAGTCCTGTTGCCAACCCTGCATCTGGAAATAATCTAAACTTTACGCTGTTTTGTTCATGATCTGAGATGACGTCATGGAGACAGCACATGGTTTGTATCAAATGAAATAAAGCGTAGGAACATGCTAACGAAGTAATAAAAATCATTTATATATGTACGTTCGGGATTTTACTGTACATAACCACAATCGTCGCTATTTAACGACATTCAATAAAGCTTGGCAACAAAAAGGCAACGCCAACGGCATTGCCCATATCTCCTGAAAGACCAACACCTCCAATCAGAAGCACACACGCACCAGAAGATAAAAAGAAACAATAATGATGCTGCAAAAACTTCCTACAAAGCAAACAAAAGTAAGATAAAGACAGCTACGTTCTATCCCGAGACGCATAATCTAATAAATAGACTCCTTCGACTTCCCTGAATAATACACTGCATTCGTACCAAATTTATTCTTCTAACAATACGATACTGGAAATGACATAAATTGGAGGAATCAAAATGAGAAATACATGTCTACGACTCATGTTAGAATAAAAGCACTCTATCAGGTGGCATGGAACACAGATGAAGAGAATTGTACAACGGATGTTCCTCATCAAAGCCATGATTGCTAAGAAGGTTTCTGTCTTATTGTTAAAGCACAGCATTGAGCACTGGTTTGACTGAGCAAGAATATTTGTAGTGAGTAATTGCATTTCAGTGTTTAAAAACACCACCACCGACAACATCATATTCAACAACAATAAACAACAACAACAAACAACAGCAAACAATAAGTATTAATAGTATTAGTAGTGACGTCAGGTGACACATCAGTACAACTGAGTACAAAACTGGCGGAACATTGATGGTTTCCAGGTAGACTGGCATTATTATTCTTTGATATCTGAAGATGTGACATCTATCTCCCTCTTCCTTCAGAGCTTGACAGGCTGTGTTGGACTGTCACCAGTCTGGTTATTAAGATCACGCCTCAAAGAAACTGAAATTTCGCTATTTTTTTCAGTGAACTCCCTTTAAAGCGCTCCAAGTAGATATAAAGAATTTGTATACAGCATTTTGTATACAGCTTTTGCTATATCTGTAATAGTTGTGATAGTCACACTTTATAAGACGTTGTTGTTGTTATTGTTGTTCTGGGGCTTAACGCCTTTTTTCTGCTCACGATATATGGCGGCCAGTATTAATAGTGGAGGAAAAAACCGCGAAATCCGAGGAAAGAACTACCGACCCATGAGAAGCTACTGGCAAGCTTTTTCACATATTCACATTCGTAGAATCTTAGACTCGAACCCACGCAGAAAGAGGAGAGATGGCAGTGATCCGTAACAGACAGTGCTTTAGACCACTTGGCGCGCCTAGACAACACAAAAGAATCAGGATAACAAGGTACATTTATAATATTAGTATCAACGGCGGTTTTAGGTATGTGCGGGCCCGGTGCGAAGTGAAGACAATGAGCCACCAAATTCTAGTTTCTATTCACTGAAGAAATTCTGTGAAATACTCATAGAAATATACACGTTTGTATTCAAAATCAAAATATATTATGAAATAGTCTGCTTTAATTAAAATCTGTTTTAAACAAACTGCAAAATTCTCCGAGGCGGGGAAGGGACTAGCTTGCGGAACCCGGTGCGATGTCACTTTTAGCATATCACTAAGGCCGCTACTGTCAGCATCAGGAATGATGTACCTTATAATCAACATTTTTCATTAATAAACCTTCTCCATTGTTAGTTGCATTATTTGACGTAGGTATTAAATCACTATCTTAAACTTATTTGACTTAGGTATTAAATCACTATCTTAAATTCAAATTTGCAATCTTCCTTCTCAGACTTCATTTAAGGAAAGCACGGGCGGCTATACACAAATAATTTAACTTCTGCTGCAAAATGGTTACTAATTTAAAATAATTAAAAGTGACCAAGCCTATAGAAATATGATACTCATAAAATGATTGAGGATTAATGAAATCACACGACAGGAAATTAATTCTTGTCATATGTGAATTAAAAGAGGTGTCGCAAACCCTACATCTAAGTTCCGGTTAATACCGTTTGCAATTGGCTTTTGCCTATAATCACATTCTGACAATCACGCGGAATCATTTCCTGCAATACATGTTTATATTTTCTACCACTAAAATGTATAACATACATACATACATACATACATACATACATACATACATACATACATACATACATACATACATACATACATACATACATACATACATATATACATGCATACATACATACATACATACATACATACATACATACATACATACATACATACATACATACATACATACATACATACATACATACATACATACATACATATATATTTTGTTATGTATCGGCTCGTTTAAAGTAGCACAAAGAAAGAGTAAAGACAATAAGCTTTTTAAATTTAAACAAAAATAATTTATTGCTTTAGAATACATGAAGAAAAAATAAATATGTGAAACAAGACTTAAAATTTATGAAAGAGACCCAAATTGTTTGTTCTAAAGATATAAAACACATAAATCCTGTGAACAGTTCTAAATTGACACAGTCTGAAGTTTAGTTCCGGTCCAAGATGACGGATGATGACGTCAGACGAAGGCTAACACAAAATTCCCATAATTTTCAGTGAAGCACAGTGTGTATTGTTCCGTTCCAATTTAGAAGAATTTCAGAATATGTTTTTGTCTAAACCAGTAGTGTTGTTCTCCAGGTAAAATAATTATTTAAAAATTAGACGAAGTACAATTATCTTCACTAGCAAAACATATGTCGTTCTACGACACACAAACAGACATTTTCTTCTAGTACAAAAATACCTTTTTAAGGTAATAGAAGATATGTGAATCTAAAATGTTAAAATCGGCTACGACTCAGACTCCACTTTCTGACAGATAAACAAGTATACAAGCTAATACGTCGTTTCAGGTACACGCGCACTGAGGACACGTGTAATTTCACAATGTATCTGGACATTAGGAAAGCCTGAGCAAGTATCAGCCAATCATTTACATAGCTACTGCTGAATGTTTACTTGCGACGAATTTACTATCATACACAGATCGTGCTTACATAAGTCACATTTACGATTTAGGCAAACACGATTGTTTATAACAAAACATTAGACGCATGCTAATAATAATAATAATAAAAATAATAATAATAATAATAATAATAATAATAATAATAATAATAATAATAATAATAATAATAATAATAATAACAATAATAATAACTACATTTAATGAAATAAAAATGAAATAAAATTGAAATGAAAAGATTTATACAAAATTAATTCCTTAACATACAATTCAACCACAATTCAAATGCCCTGTTTGATTAAGAAAAA